AAGGTGATTCAAAAGCTTTATTCTTCCCCTTCAGTGTACTGGGAAGAGTAGGATAGAGACAGGAAGGAGGGAAGCACCATCACAAGTCAGCTGAATGCCAGGGGAGTTGTGGCTGACAGAAGGAGACATGAATGGGAAAAAAATATAAATACATACAATTCCTCATTATATCAGCTGTCATGCTGCAGTTCTGCATTCTTAGAGTACTTCAGGCACTGCTTATAGAGCAACAGGACAACTCAGAAGTTTTCTTGAGCACCAGGTACTTTCCAGGTAAAAAAAAACCCTCTTCCTTCTGAAAGGCACAGAAATATTAACCAAGGGTACACTGCTCACTTGTTCTTCCTATGCCAATTTACACAAAAATATCAAATGATTTAAATTTTTCCAGAGATAATTCATCATCATGCTTAACTGACTATACTGTGACTAAAATGACACAGTGCTTACCCTATTTATAGACTAACTTGTGGAGGGTAGTACCATTAACTCAGCCACTACTAAATCAGACACTAAAACCAACTATGCAAGTAAAGGCTGAACTACTGAGAAGTAGCAGACTCCTGGTATGAAAGCTGTTCCTCTGAAATACTCACATACAATGGCTTTCACAGCAGCCTGGTTACTAAATGTTGCTTATCAGTGTTACCGGTTCTTACTGAAAGACTTCAGTCAGAGTAAAGCCATAATCTCAACCTCAGGCTTTTTCATTTGTTTTAAAACTACATATTTGGTATTTTTTAAGAAGAAAAGAGTGTAGTTAAAATACCTAAATTTAGGATAGAAAACTTCTCATCTGAGAAGCACTATTTAATAAAATGCCTGGAGTGAAAGTCTGCCAGTCAACCATCACCCATAATGAAGCCTATGGGATTTGGTCCACTCCCTCATTGACAAGAATTGTTTGGTTTAGCTTCTTGAAAGTTTTAAAACAAAATTCCTTCTTCAAGCACTTTCAAGGGAGCTCATACAAACTAGTTTCACAGTGGGAATCCAGTCCACCCACCAAGGGCTATGGGAAAGCAGTTACACATCCTGAGGCACCAGGCCAGGAAGGGAAGAAAACACATTACTAAGCCCATCTTCTCTGTAACAATGGGGAAGTGGCCAAGAAGAAATAAAAATGGACAAAGAATTTACATCTTCCAGTGTCCAAAATGCAAGACAGAGTCAGCCCACAGGTTAAAGCATATTCATTGTGCCTTCTCGCAGATCAACAGGTAATGATAAAGAATATGGTCAGGGTATTTTGCAGAATTAGGAGATTTGCAATTTGACTTTGACAGGAAAACAGACACCCTGAATGTGAATATTCCCATTTCAGGGCAAACTGATCTGCTGAACTGATCAAAACTTCCTTAGAAACTCTAAGAGATGGAAACATGTACATCCAAGGCGTCTGTTTTGTTTTTGAGACCAAATTCCAGATTTGTCCACTGAAATGTCAGAAAAGCACACGGCCTAAAAAAATAAGTGTGAATGTTTGTGTTTTAATTAGAATGTATTTTTTATTATATTAGTAATAATATACTAAAAACATAGTAATAATATTAGTAATTATTGAATAATAATAAATCAAGGACCAAGCAAAATGAAAGTGAGGGAATAAATTTTTTGCCTCTTGGAAAGTTCCAACAATTTTGAAGTTACTTCCCAAGAGATAAGAGTTTGACATTTGACAGTTGCATCAACAAAGCAGAATGGAACATCAGCACTCATGGCCAGTCCCCTATGAACCACACCTAGCTTGGAGATGAACAATAGCATCTTTAGATACTTCAATTTTGTTTAAAAGTGACATGCTTACAAGGAAAAAAACTAGAAATGTAAAAGCACCTGGGGTTTTGTTAGTTCATTTTCTGTGTGACATTCCTGACCTCTCCACCAGCATCATCTGGCCCCTGGGATGTGTGACAGACCCAGCTCTTGTTGGGATCCTGGATTATTGACACAGGGACACAATGAGGACCACGGCACTGCTGCTGGCACCAAAATCAATACGGCAACATCCTCCAATCTTCCATCTACAGCTGAGCAGTTCTCTCCACTGAGATGGCACAGCCTCCCACCACTGACAGACACTTTTTACTGGTCTAAGTTACTCCAATACTGGATCAATTCTTTCTGCCAGGAAATTCTTACTAAAATATCTGATAGACTGTGCCATTAACAGTTTCTCCCTGAACAATATCAATGGATATGCTAATTATCAGTCTGACTGTACTAATGGTTTAAGTTTAGAACAGTAAGAAGAGTTTAATAATCGGCCTAGCATTCTAATTAACTTTAGCATTGAAGAAATAGTGTTTTATGTCACTGCAGTTCCTTCATCAAAGTGTTTTCCAGAAACGAGAAGGAGAATTACACTAAATCCTGAGCATTCTGATAGGGAAAAGCTATGCCAACACATTTTGTTTGGCAACCTTACATTCTGAGATGGCAAGCACCCAGACCCAAACTAAACCCAGGGAGCCTGAGAGGTCTGAATTTTGAATATTATATTCAAAGTAAAAATATTTAAAAAAATAAGACATTACAGGTGTGGTAATGCAATCTGGACAACACAACTAAATTAAAATCTCCCCCAAAAAAAGACCCTTGACCAGGATCAGCAGGCAGCACATACCTACTTGCAGCACAGGTCAGGATCATGGGTTCACAGTTCCCAGCACAGAGCACAAAGCTCCAGCAGCAGCCAAGGGCTGCCCTCGGCCTCCCTGCGATTCTTATCATACAGCAACTCTGTTACCCCGCACACTGGATTAGAGGGTTATTAATGTCTCCACTAATCCAAAGTACAAACCAGGGTTGGACACAACGCCCATTCTTTTCCTATTTCTCTGCACTATTCCTTCCCCTGTTCTTGGGCCCATTTTCATTTCAGTGCAGGCTTTGGAACAGAAGACAATTTCTACATTAATTCCTTTCATGTTGTTCCATATGTTATTCCTACCACAGCAGAAAAAGTAGTTCTTTTATACTTACTTTCCACAAAAACAAATCATAGCTGATGTGACTTGCATGAGTAAAGAATGCTTAAGTTATTTATAATCAAAGCAAGTAATTATAAAAAGCCATTATTTTTCCTCAGGGGAATAGAACTAATCCAGTTCTATTTTGTCACATGTAATCTTAAATCGGAGGTTACGCTACTCCTTTAAGCAATAAATCCAGCACAGACAACTAAAAATATTAAATAATTAATTTCTTGAATTTTCTCCACATTAAAATAGAACAGTTTCAAGGCACACTTTTGGTAAGTTACTTACAAGCAAAACCAACACAGATAAGAACAGTATAGTAATCAAAGTGGGTAAAAAACCAAAACTGGTCCTATGGCTGCAAAAGGAGGATGGGGAGAGGAGCCATTTTAGAAGCTCCAATTCTTTAGTGTAGGACACAGCAACCACTTTCAGAATCCATCCAACTTTCCAGCCAGTCCCCTTCTCTACAGCATCCTCATCTCCCCACATCTAGGGACCAGGAAGAAGACAGCAATCCATACCTCCTGTAAGACAGACTTCACCAACCTATCAAACCACTAAATTTTCTTGCACTTTTTTGCCTTCCTTTTAAATAACAATAACACAAATACATCCAACATGGGTCTTCTAATACACTACAAATTTACAACTACTTTTCCTGGTCAAGAGACAGCCAACATTTGTACATTGCACAGTTCCCCGCACACCTGCAGTGTGACAGTCTGCAAGAGCCAAGAGGAAAATTTGTTGGAAGTTGTTCTGCAGCCCTCAGAACAATAAACAATGGTTATTCACCACAAAGTACAGGAGAATAACCCCTACCTACACTGACCTTACAAGCATGACAGCAGGGAAACTTACCTTCCCCTCAGTGCTTTAGAAGGACACACCAGCAATGACTGCCCATAACGTAGGGAAAACCCCACAATCTAAGCACCTTCATCATTACTCTCAAAAGGCAGGCTGAAATCCCTGAGGAAAAGCACTTTCTCGTGCAACTCCATAAAGAAGAAAAAGGAAAAAAGAAAAAACAACAAAAAAAAAGGCCACGAAATTCCCTAGACATGCATAATTAAGAATACAACATTGCCCTTTCCTAACAGAGTGCTTTCCCAAGGAAACTCAAATGCTCCCTAAAAGAAGAGAGCCCTGGCCTAGTCCAATGGCTGGGTAGTACCAATCCTGCAGGATTCTGCACATCTCTCCAGTTCTCCTGTATCTACATTATAACTAGCCTCAACTTAAATTCCTGGTTTTCTCAACCCTTCCCATGCATCCCACACAGTAAACACTGACCCTTCAACCTCACCTTCCAAGCTAAGCATTACCTACAGCTTTTTTATATGCACACACTTCTGCAACCTCTTCCAAAGTAAAAAACGTCCACAATTCCTCTCAAACCAGTCAGAAATAACCTTTCCACAGCAGGAACCTTCAGGGAAAGCTTAGCTTCCTTCTGCACAGGTACATACCACCTTGAGAGAAGATCTGTTATTTTCTTTGTCTTTTCCAGCAAAGGAAGGCACCGTTCACACTGCACATCCCGACCTGAACCTTCCGAGGTGCCTTTTCGCACACAGCCAAACATCCCCCGCCGTGCCCAAATCAATGACGGCGTCCCACCAGGAGGATCGGTGTCTACCTGCATCCACCGCCACCCTTTCCCTCCTCCCCTGCCAGGGCGGGCAGGCCTCGTCCCATCGAGGCTGGGCTCCCCTTCCCCAGCAGCAGCGCGTCCTCCCAGCGTTATCCCCGCTCCGTGCGCGCCGGGAGCCGCCCTTGCTCCACATTCACAGCCTAAAAAACCACTGGCGCTGCCTCCCGCCCCCTCCCAAGGCCTTCCAAGCCGAGCTCCCCGGGCCGCTCCCCGCTCCTTCCCGGCGGGTCCCCGCTCCGTGCGGGCCCCCCAGACCCTGCCCGGCCGATCGCGCCCAGGCCGCCGCCCTCGCCCCGCGGCCGGCGCGGCTCTCAGGCGAGCCCGGGGCTGCGCAGGCCGCGCCGCCGCCCCCGCGGTACCTTCGGTCTGGGCGCTGGGGCCCGGCTGGGCCATGGCTCGGCGGGCGGCGCCGCCGCGGCCTCCTCGGGCGGGGACCGCTACGCCACGGGCAGAGAGACGGGAGCGGCCGGGCCGGGCCGCCGCCTCCTCCGCCTCATCCTGACAGCGGCCGCCGGCGGCGGGAGGGGAGGACGGGCAGGAGGAGGAGAAGCAGCAGGAGGAGGAGCCCCGCGCAGGCGCCCACGGTGAGGCACGGGATCGGCTGCGGCCACCGAGCGGGGAGGGACCGGGGACCGGGAATGGGACCGGGGACCTGGACCGAGACCGGGGACAGGGACTGAGGGTAGACATAGGGAACGGGAACCGGAACCAGGGACAGGGACAAAGACCGGGAACCAGAGACAGGGCACAGGTAAAGCAATAGGGACCGGAATGGGGAACAGAGACCAAATATTGGGACCAGGGACCAGGGATGGATGCAGGGACAGAGACTGAGGACCGAGGAGAAGAATTTGGAACAAGGACTGGGGACAGGGTGAGGGTGGCGGTGGCTTCTCCCGGCTCCCTGCCCGGGCTGGCCCCTCAGCCCCGGGCAAGGGAGAAATCCCCCGGCCTACAGCCCGGAGGCATAATTAATGTTTGTTATTGAAGAAGTCGCTTTGAGCAACACCAACAAGTTCTGCCCTTTGATCACAGAATCACCGAGGTTGGAAAACACCTGGTCATCGAGTCCAACCTGAGGCTGATCCCCACCATGTCACCCCGACCGTGGCACTGTGTGCCACATCCAGTCTTTCTCTAATGTGATGACTCACTCTAAAGTGGATGGGAGCACCCAAGACTCATAAATCCTTGTGGACAAAAGGACCCTCAAAAGTCAGAGGGTCCACAAACAACTGATTACAAATTACACACTTGGCATGGAAATCGGTGTATTAGTCCCTGCCCTGTTTGTAGTTGTCACACTTGTTTTCACACCAATAATGCAGCTGTGACCCATGTGGGCAGTGGAAGGAGCCTGTCCTGCCAAGGGGTCCCTTTGCCAGCACCATGGTTGGGCTGTGTTGATGGAGGTTTAGTCCTTTCATGGGTTTTAGTCCTTCCACGCAACTAGGTGAATTGCTGACTTAGTGGCAGATGATCAAAGGATGAAGTATCTATCACTCGAGGTACATTTACAAATTTCTTAGCTCCTTCCTAGGCTTTTTTTATAAGTAGCTGGATGTTACAAGCATTCAGTGCATGAATCTCCCTGTAAATCTAGTCCTGAGTGTAAGAACTGAGCTCTTGAAACTCCACACTGCTGTGTGTTCATATGAGTACCTCAAAGCACCTATATTAGCAGATAATTTCATCTTGTTCATGTTGAGGCAAAACTCTGACACATTTTGGTCGGTCAAGGATCAAACTCAGTACAGCATCACTCCTGCTGCAAAAAACAAGTAAGATAATAATAAGCTTGATATCTGCTGTACCTACAAGTGCTTATTAAGGGATGAATTATCATTTCACTTTCATCACTTCCATAGATGAGATGATAGGATATTGACTGTTGAAATTGCAACATTTGCAATCTCTATCTGAACTCCTGAGCTTACATTCTGGATGGGTTTTATATGTAGTTTCAAAAATATAAGAACTCTTGAGGGGCTCATACTTTTATTTTCCTTTCTTTGTTCTTCAATTTAGAGCTGTACTAGCTTTATAGGTGTGGTTCTTACTTAATCTTTCTTTTCTGGATATTAATTGGACTTGACAGAGGTGAAGGTTTATGTAGTATCTAACAGAATGTCTTCTAACCTGGAACAATTGAGTAACTTCCTCTGTGCCTCCCAAAATGTCCCATTTAATTCTACTCACTTGTAGTTCTTATAGCCTTGATCTCAAAGGATTTCCCAGCATGACTCAGCTAAATCTTAAAAGAGGTAAAAGAGGTTTAGCAGCAGTTTTCAGTCAGAGGAAAAGGTCTTGCAGCACAGAAACAGCAGAGACCAGAAGTCCTGAATTCCAGTCCCTGTGGTGTGAATGATGGACAAATGCAGTGTTAAGGAATCAGTGGCACAGGTGAGCAGAGGCTATTTCTGGAATAAGCTTCTGCAGAAATAATGCTCCTAAATCCCATGAATTTTTATCAAATTTATTTGGCCTAAAAGCCTAACATAGGCATTTTCAGCATCAGCAGCACAAGCAGCAGACACGTGTGAATGGAAGATGCATCTTCCTGGAGAGTGTGTGCTGTGTCGGGACAGGTGGAGGAGGAGCTGTCACCTTGCACTCTGCCTGAAATGTAATCCTGAAGGCTCATTATAAAAAAGAAGTTTGCAGGTTTTGTTTGAACAAAAAACATCCAGGAGCAAGCAGTGAGTGTGAACACTGGAGACCTAGAGGAAACTCAGAGGGACTGGGGTTGTTTGGTTACGAAGAGCACAGTGAAGTAATTCACATAACATATCTAGGAGAGAAGTATTTTCATTTTCTTTGAGGAAAATGAATAAGTGGAGAAAGAGCTTATAAATCTGTTTCCCTATATTAGGGAAATATATATATATTACGGTTGATTGACTTTTGTGCTTATGGGTGCTCAAGTCCAAATGAAACTTTCTCTGCTTATTTTTTTTTTTATCATGTAGAAAGATTTTTCTCTTTCTGTGTCTTTGGGTTTTTTTTCTTTTTTTCCCCCCTTTACTTGGGGCACTTTAACCTCAACTGAGGCATCTATTTTCACAAGGCTTTGAAGAATGTAGTTATCACTGTCCTTATCTGTGACACTAGTCCCAGATCCTGAGGCTGGTTGAGTTACCCTGGCTATGTCCCAGCTCCATGTCAGGACAAGATCCAGTTACATACATTGTACTTGCCACAAAGTGTACAGCTTTGGGGAAGTCCCTGCATCTCTAGCAAGTCCCTTGTTGTGGATGATTAAAGGGGCAGGGCTGTGATCAGACTGAGGAAGAGTATGATCCCAAAAGCTTTGTATTCACAGGAGGCTTGGCTAATAAATACAGAACTAATTCCTTCTGTTTTGAGTGATACAAGGTACTATTTTTTTAAATGACAGCTAAGCCAATTCTACAAAACCCAGAGTCTTTAAAAAGATAAACTAAATTTCTGGGCTTGCAAGGCCAAGTCTGCATCTGGTGTGAATCCAGTGGAAACAGGCTGATGTGTGAGAACTGAGAAGCCTGTAGCACAGAATCAAAATGGAGATCCAAAAGGCTGTCTGAAGTGCTGTTCCCCATGTCTGCTGCTTTGCTAGCCACAAAGAAGTTGGATTCCATTGTGCCCTGTATGGTGGGGGTTTGCAGTGAATTACAGGCCCTGCTCCCACTGTAGTTCATCTTTTAAACCACCCACTGCTTAATTCAATTAATCCAAGAAAGCTCAGTAACGAGGTGGATTTGGGAAGTGGCTTTGTGGGTTCTAAACTCCAGGGCACCCACAGGGAAAAAGAATTGCAGAACTGGGGCCCTCTGCCTCGGCAGGTAGGAGATTTCATCTCCCCCCACCTACTCTACCTGGAGGTGTTACACAGTGGAGAGTTGGGTAATAGTCTCCATTGGCCAAACCATACAATGACATCATCTTTGGAGGAATTCAACAAGAATGTTTCAGATGATAAGAGTAAACATGTTACCAGAAAAAAAAAAAAGAAAAAAAGTGTGTTTTAAACTCCAGGTGAAGCCCAGGGAAGCAGAAGTCACACACATCTTTAAGGAGGGCAGGACAGTGAGCCTTGGCTTCATTCCAAAGGCAAGTAGCAGCCTTGTCCAGCTCACAAAAGAGGAAAAGCAGCATTTATTACTTGCACTTTATATATTTCTAGGTTTGCCAGATTTTCTCTACTGTTTTTCTCACTATTTTTTAAAAATTGTTTAAAATTAAGTGTTCAGTTTCCTAATTTTTAAATGTTTATTTTCCTTCTATTGAGATCAATGGGTCATTAGCATTAAGTTATTGGTTCTGCAGCTAGGAGTGTTTCTGGGCTTTAGTCCTTTCTTTTTAAAGCAAAGCTTTTGGAGAAAATTTACATTCATCTAAGTATTACCATAAAGAGTCTGGTTAAAAATCCCAAATCAGTCATGCTCTTTGCTTCAGAAGTTCTTATGGAATGCAAGGAATTTAGTCTGGGACAATTACATTATTTGCGATGGTAACTTCTTAGCGAACCCTGGAATAGTTTATGTGGTTAAAAACCTTTTCAAGAGCAATTGAAAAATTATGTTATCCCATCTATTGTTTAAAGGATTCCATGTGGTGCAATTCTTTGAATATATGGGAAGAAAATGGAGCCAAAAAAGAAAATTTGGCAGGCAAAAAATCAAAGTGCTTGCATTGGCTCTAAAACCAGATATGTACACATTAATGATCTCATTTGAAAGATGTCTATATTAAGATCTGAAAGCTCTTGGTGTTCCCAAGGGACAAGCTCATTGAATGTTGTGATATACCATGAAACTAAACAATTTTTCTTACTGCAAAATAACCAAGAAATCAAAAAATCAATCTGTGTGAGTAACAAAGGAACACAGTCTTTTGGGTAACCTTGCTCAGCAGTACATCAGAATTGCCATTGCAGGGAAGCACAGCTCTGCTTTTTGCTTATACACTCCTTCCTGGGAAGATCTAAAAAATATGCCATATGTCATTCAGACTCACTAAACCTGCATTACAAAGTTACCTGTGCACACTGCAACTACTGCATCTCTACTTGAATCACTGCTGAAGGCAGACTTGGACAAAGGCTCCCTCCTGGCAGCTCTGCTATTGCAGCAGGATGTCAAAACAGAGGAGAGAGGCACCAGCAAGGCCCATGTCAGTCACCACACATTTATCAGACTTTGCTGAGCAAACCCAAGGTGGTCCTGCACGTGGGGACAACAAGGCCAGTGGGACCCCAGAGAGAACTCTCTCGTTTTTCACTCTGCTCATGAGATTATACTTTTCTTTTAAAAATCTAAAATAAAAACAGGGATTGTGCTTCTTGAGGCTGTTTTTACATGTATTGCCTGTAGTAGCATTTCTCTAAGCAGGAGCCCATGTAAGCAGTAGCACCTCCTGCACTCAACTTCTGAATCTTGAGCCGGGTGGTTCGTTAACCTCGATGAGATGAGTCATGTCAGATCTGCAAGAC